ATTAGGTACCTGGGTGTTAGTCACCTGTCACGGGCTGCTTTCTGGGGGTGGAGGCCTGGTCGAGGACCGGGCCGCGGGGACACTAAAGCCCCGAAATCATCTGAAGATAATCTCAAGAAGTCTTTCCATGACGCGTGTTCGCGATTTCATCTTAAATTTTGTAAATGAATTTCCAAATAATGGAATTTGCAATAAGTGATGGAATGTTGTAGTGCGCATTTGTGGAGTTTATTTAATAATAAATAAATAAACTCAAATGCGGCCTGGCCTGTGTGGTGGCCCATGGCCCGGGCCGGAATCTAATATGTGATAACAGCATGCAGGGATATTATTATTTTATTAAAGGAGCGGATATTTTTTCAGTCAGTGTGCTCCATAATGTTTTTATACACGCTGTGTGTTATCCTTTATGTAAAAATAATTTACAGTGTAAATTATAGACAACTTTGTTCTCTGGAATAGTGGCAATCATCCCCTAAAATCCATGGAGCTGCACGAGAAACAATAACCTGATATTATCACCACATAGACTTATAGGCGTTGCGATATGAGGCGCAACATTGCAGACGGTGCTATCACGACTTGCGTAAAGTTTGTGAATGGAATCGATATCATCCAGGTATCATCACCAATGCATTCAATGTTGATGACGTTGATTCAACATTGATTTATCATTGTTCTTGGATATTGTGCCCACTCGGGCTTTTGGATCAGCAGTAACTGCGTGTAAACATAGCGAAGTAGTTCAACACCAGGCCGAGGGTTTTCTCTTGCCATAGCCCATGGGGAGCCTTATCCCACTAGGTTTTCCAGGGTCAGCCACCTGGAACGTGGCACGCCCACCGGTTTGCAACCAGGTCCCCCCGAGTTGCTGCTGGGTGACCGGGGGCGTGTGTTATGACTGGTAGCATTAACGTGTAGCTTGGGACACCCTGGGGAGTGTTTTAGCGTGGCAGTGTGTCCTGGAGGAGTAAGGTGTTTGAAGGTTGGTGTGACGGCGAAGGACAGGTAGAGTGACGGGAGGGGTGAGAGTGGAGGACACGTACGCACGCGCGCGCGTGCACACGGGGTGCAAGAGCTAACAGCTCGATCCTGCAGGCATCAATAGGGGAATAAAAGTAGGTGAACACACACACACATACGCACACACATGACAGAGTATATGACAGAGCCCAGTAGGCTCAGGACTCTGTACATCAGTTGATTGACGGTTGAGATGCGGGACCAAAGAGCCAGTGCTCAACCCCCGCCAACACAACTAGGTGAGTACACACACACACGCACACACACACACACGCGCACACTGGGACCCATGGTATTTCTCATCTATGTTAATAACTTAACCATAGCAGTTGAATTATATGTGTCGATGAAATATTGATAAGAGTCTAGGCAGATGATGATTGTAAAATACTCAAAGATGTCTTTGACAAACTGCAGTTGGGGCGGGAAACGGCTGCTAAACACCACCAAGTGTATAGAATGGGAACAAGGGCCAGGAGACCAAAAGGGTCTCCTGGCACCTGTTCACACAGTGAGGGAAACTACCTCCCTGTAACGACTAGAAGACCTGGACATAACACAAAGGACATAACACATAACACAGAGATATATTATAACATAATGAGACATAAACACAAATCCAAATCCTGACTCCGGAGGCACATATAAACAGGATATCAACAGCATACTTTATACTAGCAAATCGGAACATCGTTCAGAAACATAAATTAGGCGGCATTTAGATCTCGGCATCCCACCTACGTGAGACCAGTTAAAGAGTATGCCGCGCCATGGCAGAACTCCCTATCTCAATAAATACAGAAACATAAAAAAAAAAATCAGATGTTTCAACGAGGCTCGTTGAAACACCCAGATGAGTTGTGAAGAAAGACTGTAAGGAGTAGATCTAACGTAGCTTGAAAAAAAGGGGAGCGGAGAGAGGAGACATGATAGAGACATACACAATTCTTAGGATTTAAGTGGAAAAAGAGGAAATAGTAACAATGTATATCAGTTGAACAAGAGGACATGGATGTTATTTTATCATGTTTATAAATTATCATATTATGTGTCGCATGTTAATAAGTTTTCTTTTTATTGAAGAGTAGTGGGAAAATTAAATGAACTACAGCAGGTCGTAGAAGTCATAATTTAAAACACACATACATTAAGGGGATATGGCAGGAGTCATTACATAATACAACCAGCGACTAGAAAGGCGGGGTCCAAAGGCTAAAGCTCGTCCTTACAGTCACAAACAGGTGAGTACGCAATTTGAAAATGCTTTAGATTAAAAGAAAACACATTAACACCAAATTATAAATGAAAGAGCCGAGGCAGTAACAGTTGCCGAGACAGTCCGGCATGGATGGTAATGAGCTTTGTGTCAGACTACAAATGCCAGGAAATGAACAGTAAAAGCAGGCAACACAGGCCAGATATATTTGGAAACACGTTACTTTAGCCTCATAAATATGCGACAAGCGCCTGAGTGCTGTAGAAAACTCTCTTTGTGTACTTACGCGACAGAAAACGGAGGACTGGTATGCATTCAAAAATCAAATATAAATAAAACGAAGGCCAGGGGGATACACACACAAAAAAAGACATAAAGTTAAAAGAAAACAAAAAAATCTGCCAACAAAAGCCGGGCTCGTGTTTGGAGGCGTGAGCATTCAGGTCTAAAACAAAACAGCAACAGCCCCGTGTGGGCCTGAATGGCCCAGACAGTCTTTAACAGCAGTGGACAGGTAGGCCAGGGATTGACGGCCGGTTGTTGCGCCGAGTGGGGTTTGATAGGACGAGAGCAGGGGAGGGGGCAGGGCATGCGGGAGGGTACAGGATAGGGGCAAACATTTTATCTTAAAAATTGGCCGAGCGGGAAGAGTGAGTTTACGAGAGCGGAAATAGCCTTTGGAAATGTTTGACGAACAGGGAGGGAATTTTGTTTGGGGGAGGAGGGGTTAGGCGGGGGGAGGGGGGCTTGGGAAGGGAAGGTGAGGGGTAAAGTTGTCTGGAAGAGGGGAGAGAGGGAAGGAAGAACAGGAGGCAGGGGGAGGAGTGAGATAGGTAAATGGAAGGGAGGACGTATGTAGAGAGAGAGAGGATAGAAATCAGGACAGGGTTGAGAACGAGGGGAGGGATAGTTGTCTGGAAGACGGGAGAGAGGGAAGGAAGAACAGGAGGCAGGGAGAGGACTTAGATAGGTAAATGGAAGGGATGACGTATGTAGAGAGAATGATAAGAGGGTAGAAATCAAGACAGGGTTGAGAACGAGGGGAGGGGTGAAGGGAGGAAGAGGGAGGGGCAGGAAATGAGAAACTAACCTTTGATATTCAGATGCTTCCGTCTTTTTCAGGGCAATTTTTCGTAATAATTAACTAGTGTAGAGGAGGAGAGATGGCATGTGGCCAGCCACGTGTACGTGAAGCAGAGTGGGGGAGGACAAAGTGGTGGCAGGGAAAGAAAGATGAGGGAGATGGCCGGACCGAAATATCGTCACTCGTGTGTGTGTGGGGTTGGATGTTTCACCCACGTTATTCTGAGTTATTTTCTGCATCTGGAAGTTACGCTGAGACTTGTGTACCTAACTCAAACGTTAAATAGAAACCTAAGAATAGCGGTTTGGTCATAAATACCTAGGACCGTATACCTACGTATACCGTATATGTACTACGTAGAACGTATACCTTTGGACCATAAATACGTAGGACCGTATACCTACGGTCATAAATTCCGTAGAGCCTGGCCAGCGAGCCCCCAGAACACAATGTCCTCGTGGGTAAGGATCATTTCTCAACTAATTTAAACCATCTTAGTGCTCTGGGAACCTTTCTAAAGAAGTAGCGAAGACTAACGAGACGAGGGATCCTCCAGAGACACTGGAACCGTCACATTCCATAGACGTGAATGGTTGCCAAGGAGAACCAGAGTTCCTTCCCTCATAGTGCCATAGGTTAGATCCGTCGAAAGTTACCTCCTAACAGGAATCATGGCTCACTTAGCAGCTGAGGATACCCCCTTGAGCGAATGTTAGAGCCCCCATAGAGGGCATTGGATTCCCCATAGCGGGTGGTCCCTCGCAGTAAGCTATGGATACTCTCCATCAAGCAGTGACGCACCTGTAGTGAAGACTGGCTCCTCCAGGAAGGTCCGAGGGGGTGGAGGTGGGCCAGGCCTTCGTCAAGGGCAGCTTGCCAAGGCGGGAAGTTTATGTAGGGTAGAGGAGCACCGTGTCGGCGCGAGTCAAGAGGCGGGGAGGAGCCACCAGCTCGTCACGGCCCCCCCGCGGCACTCAACTGAGGCACCAACTCCTTAATTATGGCAGTTGGACCTCCGTCCCTGTCGATCCTGTGTGTGTGTGTGTGTGTGTGTGTGTGTGTGTGTGTGTGTGTGTGTGTGTGTGTGCTCACCTGAATGGCCTTACAGGGTCGAGCGTCTGTTCTGTTGCCCCGATTTTCTACCGTGAATTACATTCACGGTAGAAAATATACTACAACTACCGTACTTAACTACCGTACTACCGTACTAGTGGCTTTACAAGATTGTAAACACTCTGCTATGTATTCTCACAAACCCAATGTACTTTCTTGTATATAAATTCATTCATTCTTGTATATAAATAGACTCATTCGTTTCTCTTTTTATTCTAAATATAAACTGAGCATCACTTGGCCTCGAGAACTTTCTCATCTAATCCATGCATTTTATTTACGACCATTACCCAAGTCATTCCTTCTGACATCTATGACTCATTTCTGTTTCCGTTTGTCTCCTCGTTCTAGTGTTCGTCGCTTTGAACACTGCATATACTTGTTAGCTTTGTTAATTCCCCTGAGAACCTTGTACGTCGTTATCATGTCTACCCTGTTCCTTACTTCCTCCTGTGTGGTGAAGGTGTCGGGAGTTAGGCAACTATTGTGGGTTGTGTCCAGAGGAAGTTGGCCTAGGGGGACCTCGATAAGCCTAAGTACTGACTTTCTGCCCCCCCCTCCGACATGGGGGGAATTATTATGATGGGACAGAGTACTGCTCCCCGAGACGCTTCTCTCGTTATGCTCATTCAGTTGGGCCCTTCAGTCGAGCCCTTCAGTCGAGCCCTTCAGTCGGACCCTTCAGTCGGACCCTTCAGTCGAGCCCTTCAGTCGGACCCTTCAGTCAGACCCTTCAGTCGGACCCTTCAGTCAGACCCTTCAGTCAGACCCTTCAGTCGGACCCTTCAGTCGAGCCCTTCAGTCGGACTCTTCAGTCAGACCCTTCAGTCGGACCCTTCAGTCGGACCCTTCAGGGGAGCCCTTCAGTCAGACCCTTCAGTCGGACCCTTCAGTCGGACCCTTCAGTCAGACCCTTCAGTCAGACCCTTCAGTCAGACCCTTCAGTCGGACCCTTCAGTCAGACCCTTCAGTCAGACCCTTCAGTCAGACCCTTCAGTCGGACCCTTCAGTCAGACCCTTCAGTCAGACCCTTCAGTCGGACCCTTCAGTCGGACCCTTCAGTCGGACCCTTCAGTCGGACCCTTCAGGGGAGCCCTTCAGTCAGACCCTTCAGTCGGACCCTTCAGTCGGACCCTTCAGTCAGACCCTTCAGTCAGACCCTTCAGTCAGACCCTTCAGTCGGACCCTTCAGTCAGACCCTTCAGTCAGACCCTTCAGTCGGACCCTTCAGTCGGACCCTTCAGTCGGACCCTTCAGTCGGACCCTTCAGTCGGACCCTTCAGTCGGACCCTTCAGTCGGACCCTTCAGTCGGACCCTTCAGTCGGACCCTTCAGTCGGACCCTTCAGTCGGACCCTTCAGTCGGACCCTTCAGTCGGACCCTTCAGTCGAGCCCTTCAGTCGGAGCCTTTTGGTGGGACCTAGGCAAGCCAGTCCCACGTCCATGCTTGTTATCTATCTCCAGTATCACGTGATTTGAGGTAACTTATCTATTTTGCAAAACTGTCAAAGTCATCCTGGAAATATGGATATATTACTAGTGTATACGTTAAGTTGTCTCGGATTTTGTTATGGCCTTTATAGAATTCTAATAGTTCCGTGAGGCGAGAGATCTTATATTTCAGAATTTGTGCTGATTACTAGATATAAATTGTTTGGTTCCTCATTGTTGGCAATAGGAAACATTGTAGAATTATTAAGGTCTCTCTGTCAGATTACTGATCTTGACCAGGATGCAGCTCACAACAGTCGCGTATCTCCAAGGTACCTTTGCTACTGCAATGTGAACAAATGCATTCGGTGTAAAGTAACGTTCCCAAAACGCTTTGCCTTCGCTGGGAATGCAACTTCAGTCCTCTGAGTTGGGAGCCAGGATAATTCAGTCAGTACACATTTCCTAACACCTTTCTTGTTAACTTGTGATTTGCACTGGTCTAGTCCCTTCGCTCCTTGCTCTTCCCTAATTACGGGAAAGGAAAGGTGTCTAACTACGTGGACTGGACGGTAGAGAGACAGTCTCGCTTCATGCAGGTCGGCGCTCAATTCCCGACCGTCCAAGTGGTTGGGCACCATTCCTTCCTTCCCGTCCCATCCTGAATCCTTATCCTGACCCCTTCCCAGCGCTATATAGTCGTAATGGTGATACTGATGGTGCGAACGGGACGCTGGTGTACTGGAAGTGCTTATGTAGCCCTCCTGACTTGTCCCTTTCTTTTGATAACTGTTAATTATTAAAGAACTATCTTTTTGGATTTGGCATTATGAGTAATTTTTGATTCAGATTTTCATTTACATCTGTTCTCTCATTATATTTCTCAATCATTGTATCTATTGTTCCATGTAGCTTGAATGACCCTTTGGCCTTGGCCTTCACGTTACTGTGAAGACCAAGGCCCTAAATTCCTAAATTTATAAATTCCCTAAATGTATATTTTGTCTGGTCCTGTTGGCTATGGCAAACAGTTCAAGTTTTTGTTTATCGTTATACATATTATTTAATTTCTTGAAATATTATCAGTTTAGATAACTTTTCATTTCCAGTACAATGTTCACACTGAAAATTTCGAATCATTTTGCATTAGTGTTTTGCATGTGATGAAATTTTGTCTCCTGGTAATATTGGATATCACGAGGAAGAGAACGCGAGCGAGAGAGAGGAAAAGAGATAGAAGAGAATGAGAGAAGAGAAAGGTGGGGCGTAGAGATAGTTGAAGGGAGTGAGGTGGGTAAGCTGAGAGAGGAAGAGGCGTGAATTACTATGGAGAAAGTTTGTGTTGATCTTCAGATGGTGTGATGTCTCAAGGCGGGACTGTGGAGGAGGGAGGGAGATGGGTAGTACGGGTGATATAAACAGAAAGGAAAGTGGAAGGAAATGTGGAGGGGAAGGTAAGCAGGAAGACTGGGAGGGAAGGGAAGGGAGGGGGAGGGAAAGGGTGTGACGGTCGTGTTTTGCTTGAATTTTGGCAATTTGATGTTGGGAGTGTGAAAGGTGTTTGTTCACTCTCTCTTCTTCTTCACGTCTATGATAATGGCGGATGTTCACGCCTACCCCTCCCCCCTCCCCTATCCCCCCCACCCCACCTCCAAGCCTAAGATGGTGGATTTCACCCCTCATCCCCCCCCCCCCCCCCCCACCTCCCCACCAACATCCAGACCGCAAAGCCTACTCGGGATGCAAATTTCTTAGATTTAATTTTTACTACAAATGATAATGTAGTCAATAGTGTTGTGGGGAAGTGTTCAGTGTCGGTGGGCATCTTCAAATCACATTAAATTACAAATTTAATAAAAAATTGAAAGTTTCGATAAATATCCAGGTTTTATAGGTGCAAATTAAACTGGAATACGTAGAACGCTCCCTCTACGTATCATACTGGAGCGCTCCCTCCACGTATCATACTGGAGCGCTCCCTCCACGTATCATACTGGAGCGCTCCCTCTACGTATCATACTGGAGCGCTCCCTCCACGTATCATACTGGAGCGCTCCCTCCACGTATCATACTGGAGCGCTCCCTCCACGTATCATACTGGAGCGCTCCCTCCGCGTATCATACTGGAGCGCTCCCTCCACGTATCATACTGGAGCGCTCCCTCCGCGTATCATACTGGAGCGCTCCCTCCGCGTATCATACTGGAGCGCTCCCTCCGCGTATCATACTGGAGCGCTCCCTCCGCGTATCATACTGGAGCGCTCCCTCCACGTATCATACTGGAGCGCTCCCTCCACGTATCATACTGGAGCGCTCCCTCCGCGTATCATACTGGAGCGCTCCCTCCGCGTATCATACTGGAGCGCTCCCTCCGCGTATCATACTGGAGCGCTCCCTCCGCGTATCATACTGGAGCGCTCCCTCCGCGTATCATACTGGAGCGCTCCCTCCGCGTATCATACTGGAGCGCTCCCTCCACGTATCATACTGGAGCGCTCCCTCCACGTATCATACTGGAGCGCTCCCTCCACGTATCATACTGGAGCGCTCCCTCCACGTATCATACTGGAGCGCTCCCTCCACGTATCATACTGGAGCGCTCCCTCCACGTATCATACTGGAGCGCTCCCTCCACGTATCATACTGGAGCGCTCCCTCCACGTATCATACTGGAGCGCTCCCTCCACGTATCATACTGGAGCGCTCCCTCCGCGTATCATACTGGAGCGCTCCCTCCGCGTATCATACTGGAGCGCTCCCTCCGCGTATCATACTGGAGCGCTCCCTCCACGTATCATACTGGAGCGCTCATGCCTTAACTGGAACATCACTCAAGAATATACAATACACGAGAATACAAATACACTTGGATGAAGTTGGGTGTGTATGAGGCACTGTCCTTAGGCTAGGCTCGTCCAGGCGGCGGCCGAACATAAACTTATTCATCAATTGTAATATTATTGTGAATTATCTGCGTATTAAACAAAAAAAAATCTAAATTTTAAGGTAATATTAGATACTAAAATGTGTTGAATAGTTAGATCTAAATTAGGTTAAATGGTTGGGGTCTGTTTGACATTTGCAATATAGTGTTTGTAGTGTTTTTTTTACAAACACTGTTTTGCAAATGTTTTGCAAACACTATATTGCAAATCTTTTTACAAACACTTATGTTGCAAAAGTAGTGTTTTTTATTGGTAAACAAGGGTTTGTCAGGTAGATTAACGAGCATTTGGCCTTGGTGGATGAGTACGGGCTGGAAACAAACCAATTTCCTTGTACCCTTCAGGAGTCCAGGCAAATGAGCCTTTCGGACCCTATATGCTACGTATACGAGACCCACTTATAAATATGCAGCCCCGGCATCACATAGCAGTGTGAAAAAGCACATATATAGCTAGGAAAAGTCTGATGCAGGGATGAGGGAAACTCTCAGCCTTTGTAACACTCACATGAATGTATACAGCGTATAATTCAATGGTTGACATACATGAATGTATACAACGTATAATTCAATGGTTGACATACATGAATGTATACAACGTATAATTCAATGGTTGACATACATGAATGTATACAACGTATAATTCAATGGTTGACATACATGAATGTATACAACGTATAATTCAATGGTTGACATACATGAATGTATACAGCGTATAATTCAATGGTTGACATACATGAATGTATACAGCGTATAATACAATGGTTGACATACATGAATGTATACAACGTATAATTCAATGGTTGACATACATGAATGTATACAGCGTATAATTCAATGGTTGACATACATGAATGTGTAACGTTTAGGAAGTGACCATTGTAACGATCCCTAAGTATCACATTTGTAACATTTGGTGAACATGAAGAACTCGCTGTTACCTTTGTAACACTCGGAAATGTCCCCTGAGTAACGTTGATGACAATAAAGTATTGATGTTATTGTACATCTATAGCAAGACTCGCTGTAATGGTCGCTGTAAACTTGTAATCCTTAAGCCTGTAATAATTTGCGTAGAGATAAACCCCCAAGAACTGGGGAGAGTCCGCCTTCACAGCAGAAAATGCTCAAACCAGTTATCAGGAGAGAGAAATGACCGAGGTGTTAAAGATATCTCTACACTCTATTACAGAACTGGATGGTAATAAATAGGCTAATTGACTTGGGAGGAGACTAGTCAACTAACACCAGTTGTTAGGAAATTGATACTGAATGATGAAATTACAGAGTGAATATATATGTTCTCATTAGATGCTCATAAGAGACTTCTTTGGACTACAAGATGTCGAGAAAGCTGCGCTAGGAACAGATGCTCCAGGCTGGAAGTACATTTAAGTGAGCACATTTAAGTGAGCTGAATACACTTGGAGATGTGTCATGATACAGGTGTCCAGGTACAGATGTATCTGGTCATCTTGATGTGTTATTGAAGTACACTGTACGTGGTGAACAGATGAATTGATGGCATTTGAGGCTTAAGGAGCTGGCGGCTATTAAGACCGGAAGCTGCATCTTGTGCAGTCACAGCAAGCTTTGACAGTGACTTGCTAAACCTTCGTGGAAGAGAGGCAGCATCTTACCCAACCTCAGTGGGAGAGAGGAAGCATCCTACCCAATCTCAGTGGAAGAGAGGATGCATCCTACCCAATCTCAGTGGAAGAGAGGAAGCATCCTACCCAACCTCAGTGGAAGAGAGGAAGCATCCTACCCAATCTCAGTGGAAGAGAGGATGCATCCTACCCAATCTCAGTGGAAGAGAGGAAGCATCCTACCCAACCTCAGTGGAAGAGAGGAAGCATCCTACCCAATCTCAGTGGAAGAGAGGATGCATCCTACCCAATCTCAGTGGAAGAGAAGATGCATCCTACCCAATCTCAGTGGAAGAGAGGATGCATCCTACCCAATCTCAGTGGAAGAGAGGAAGCATCCTACCCAATCTCAGTGGGAGAGAGGCAGCATCCTACTCAACGTCAGTGGGAGAGACAACAACGCCAGTGGGAGAGACAACATCCTACCCAATCTCAGTGGGAGAGGGGAAGCATCC